TGCAGCATGTCTAGACATCCCAGATGCCCCTGCAGTGTGTCTAGACATCCCAGATTCCCCCGCAGCGTGTCTAGACATCCCAGATGCCCCTGCAGCATGTCTAAACATCCCAGGTGCCCCTGAAGTGTGTCTCAGGTGATGGTGGTTATTCACCTGGGTTAGTACTGAAGAAAATAAACATCAAGCAGGAACTTAGCCCTCACACAGGCTTCCCCATATCAGCCTAGCATTTCCATGGTTTCTGAGAGAAAAGAATGAGAATATTTCGTGATGTAGCTATTCGAATCACTCTGAAATAAAATGATAAGCCTCAGGGACTAAGGAGATGGACGGCAGGGTAAATGGCTCGCTGCGCAAGTGCGAGGACTAGAATTTTAGATCCTAAGCACCCAAGGAAACGAATGTCAGGCAGGCATGGGCACTGCCTGTGATCCCAGCAGTCTGCATATTAGCCAGTCATCAAGCTCAGAGTTCAGCTGAGAGACCCTGCCTCTGTGAGAAATATAGAATGCCACTGAGGAAGACCTGAGGTCAGCCTCACGCCGCCACATGTATGTGCATGTCTACCTACACACGTGTGCTTATGCATGAAAACATGCACATACATGCATGCATCACACAGAGAGACACAGGCACACAGATCATTAATGTTAGACTGATGAATATTACAGTTACCTCTGCCACCTCTTCTTAAAAACATTCTTCTTATGCATGTGTATATTTGTTTTTCCTATACCGTTTGAAAGTAAAATGGCGATAATAGAAGATTTTGCATCCAAATATTTGACATATATCTAATAGTCAGGAAACTCATTATAATACTATAATCCACCTAAAAGTTTAGCAGCCTATCATCTAATTAATATCCAGTCTGTATTCAGATTTTTCTTACCTGTCTTAAAATTGCCTTTTAATGATTTTGACATTTCACAAAAATGATTTTGTTTAAAAGCCTTCCTGTTTCATTTTGGTTTTACAAACAAGGCAAAAATCCATACAACCAAGGTTACTCACTGGCTTGCATGTCCTTGTTGTCTTTTGATCTAGATTACCTTGTTTTCATGGTGTTAATATCTTAGGAGACTAGGCCAGTTCTCTTGAACAATATCCCATATCTGGGTTTTGTCTGGATGCTTTGTGTGTGTGATCTTTGTCTTGTGACTTTACCTTCTATAGTTTTTGAGAACCAGAAGACTTGATTAGAAACAGTTGGTACATTTTTGTTCAGAATAACTTGATAGGTGATTCCGTACACTGCCGAATTCAATGACTTGATTAAGATGGTGCTGGCTCCGTCTACCACGATAGACCGTCTTTTTATTCCCATAACAGATCTAGTTTGTGGACTGACCACTTGGCTCATACAGCTTTTCTCATGGTCTGACTTTTAATGGTAGCCTCCAGTGGTGAGCCATGCGAACTCAGTCACTGTTCCACAGGAGGCCACAAACTATTGTTTTCAGCTTTGTCTCTATGCAAGTGTTTCAAAGTGAAGCAGAAGGCTGGCACAGAGTCTCCACGCCAGTATCACCAGCATCCCTCTGATGAGCTTTCCCGCTTCCTGAGGAAGCCTTCTGTTTCCTTGCCATTTATCAGTACGCCATGTTTACTGCACATCTAAAATAGCATCCTTTGACTCGCTAGAGATGTCACAATGTGTGTTCTGTGTCTACTCTGAAGTGCTTTAATATGTCTCAAAGCTGGGAATGAGAAACGGGAGACACAGAGGGCGCTGTGTCAGAGGGGAGCAACTCTCAGAACCTCATGCCATGCCGGCAGCAGCACCGCATTTCAGAGAAGTTACTAACACCAGCCGCTGCAAGAGCGTACCTCATGGCTGCTCTTCTCCAACGCCAAGGGCTTCTGCAGCAGCATGAATCAAATAGGCCTGCCAAGGAGCAAATGAATCGGTAGTGTCCCAACTCTGTACCCAGCATGCTGGGCTCTTCACGGTTTTGGCTCTTTCCATGTATACCCACACCACATGCTTGAGCCATGGCCACACATGATCACGCGTGGCTTTGCTCTTTTGTCTGTGCAGGCTCTCTTGCCCAAGACACACGGTTCTTTTCCTGGAGCCCCAGTAGGCCCGTTTGTCAAGCCCACCTCAATCCTCCCTCCCTGGGGCTCTGATCTCACCAGGTAGCACATTTAGCTCATAGCCAAGCTGGTGCTGCTCTCCCTTCCCTGGTGCTGGTCCTCCCATGGCATTCTGGGAGAAAACGCCACCAGATGACTGTCCTAGGACAAAAAGGTCCTGCACATGACACGTCAGGAATTTTGTATTACACGATCTTTCTGGAAGTTACCAGCAGAATCAAAACTGCCTTCAAATAGGGTTGTCCCCTTTGTGTAGCTTCCTTTGCCTTTTCATAGCGGGCACCCTAAACTTTGTATAGAAATTAAAGCTAAAAATTGAGTAACCCTCACCATCTGGTTCTTTGTAAGTAACATGAAGACCTATTTATTTCACTGAGACAAAAGAAATGGGGGGAAAGGTAAGCATAAATTAATTTGGCATTCAGAAATGACAGTAAAAAATGAGGCATAAATTGATATGGTAATTTAAATATTACAATGAAAACAAAGCTTATTTTATTATCCTCAGTTTGAATCTTTTTGTTCCTCATGCTAATGATTTGAACAATGTTTTAACTGGAAATAAACGATGGTACCTTGTGCTGCTCGCCCAGGGAGACACCGCTCTGGAGTGTTTAAAATACTTTGCCTGTGTCTCTTAATTCTCCGGGCGCAGCTCTTCTCATTTGCAGGCTCCGGGTGCTGGCCAGCCTGTTCTGTAACCGGGCAGCGATGGCAAAACTCTGATGGCTTCGGGTTTCTGTCTCTGCAGAAGCAGGGGGTAAAAAGCTCCGGAGCACTGTCCAGAGAAGCACGGAAACCGGCCTGGCGGTGGAGATGAGGAACTGGATGACCCGGCAGGCCAGCCGGGAATCCACAGACGGCAGCATGAACAGCTACAGCTCCGAAGGAAAGTGAGTGAGGCCGCGTCGTGCCCTGCTAGCAGGAGAGCTAACTCGCACTGTTCACAGCCCACTTCCGCCCTCACGGGCTCGTGCCCGAGAGCTTGTCTCAGCCCACTGATCAGTTGACCCATCTGGCTTTTTATTTTGAATGAAATAGCTTGGGAGAGGTAAAGCACTTTACTGGTAGAACAAGATGCTACCATGTGAGCCTCAGTATTACCTATATAAAATGGTTTGTCCAAGCTTAAGACAGTAACTAAAATCACAGAAATAATGAGCAAATGTCAAGCCATGTAGGCAATATTAGTTTTTAAAGTCTTCGGTGTTGGGCCTGGAGAGATGACACAGAGGTTAGGAATACTGACTCTCTTCCTAAGGATGGGTTTGATCCCCAGTACCCACAAACAGGCTCTCAACTGTAACTGCAGTGCTAGATCAGATGCCCTCTTCTGGCCTCCTTGGGCACTGCATGCACATGGTGCATAGATGTATATATAGGCAAAACACCCAGACACATAAAATATATTAATTTTAAAATAATTTTTAATGTAAAAAAATCTTTGATGTGTTGAAGAGAAGCTATTGAAAAATTTATGCACTAAAAGATATATAATTTATCTTAATTACGTGAAACAATAATCAAAAGAAAATAGCAACAGGAAGTTGGTGAGCCTTTTTCTATGTTGCTTTCCTTTGAATCCACTACAGTAAGACACTTGGGAAAGTTTGTAAACGTGGGGTGGCCCTGTCTCCAGCAAACAGCTGTGTTTAGTGAGTTCTGATCTCTAGTTGAGGTACAGAGGACATCGGGAGGGAAAGTGAGGCTCAGGGCCTCCCTCTGCCATCACCGTGGAAGTTTTCTGTGTAGCCAATTCAGAGTCAAAACCATAGGAAATTGTGGCTATCATTAATTACATACCCTAATGATATTTTTGTGGATTGCGTTGGGTGGGCTACTCAGTCTAGGGGTTGTAACCCACCCCGCAATCCAGTTACTCCAGGGTCTCGGAGGGGCGCTACCTGGAAGGGAATGAGCTAAGACAGAAGAACGAGGCCAAGCAACTTTGTCAAGGCCTCAGTTTATTAGGGACGGGTTACAGTTTATATATGGTAAGGGATGAGGGGCAGGGTACGGGATCTCGCAGGCCGCGTGGTTCCGGTCACGTAGCTCGGTTACATTCAGACAGACAGGCCAGAAGTCACAAGTGGCCACACCTGGTTCCCTGGATAGCTGGAATGTGAGGCGGGTTCCGCTTAGATTAGCAGTTAATTGGGTGAGGGGTAGGTTTTGACAATAGAACATAACTATGGGTGTGAGGTTCTCTGCAGACTCCCTAGAGTGATGGTTTCTGTAATGATTGTTAGGGGGGAAATGGCTCCTGACATATTTTGTCCAATGTAATTATATAAATAAAGGAAAGGTACATATTCCTGCAGTTTTTAAATAGAGATTTAGAAACAGGTTGGGTCTTTGATATTTGAGGTGAAGGGAAAGAAACAGGTTTGCTCATCATCAAGGAAGGCAAAGGAGGTGGAGAGCTGAGCGGAAGAGTCTGTGGCAGCAGCTCGGACGCAGGCCTGTGGCACACTCCATACCAGGGACTGAAGAAATGTGTTCTTCCTGGAAGAAAAGCAAATGATAAAGTGCTCTGTGGAAGTGCTGGCTGCACGCACCAGTTTATAGTCTGTTATAGAGCTGCCAGGGATAGAAACGTTTCGAGTATGGCTCCCACCTCAGATGGTTACCATTTTATTGGAGAAATAACATGAATACTCATGAATCCATTCAACCAGCATTACCTTCTAGTGTCCCAGACAGAATGCTGTGATTTCAATATGAGCTGTACAGGAGAATCAAATCAGAAGTTAAGACAGCGGGCTTAGGAGTCACAGGAACCAAAATAGCAAGAGGAGACCAAGGCTCTCATCTTGGTTTCTGGGACTCTAGATATTTTGGCAAATTACGTCATGCTTCTAACATGAAGGGTAGTCACTAAGGGTGTCATGTATCTGTTGTTTATAAGATTCTGTAGTCATAGCTGATGCTGACTGCTGTAGTCACAGGCTGACGCTGACTGCTGTAGTCACAGGCTGATGCTGACTGCTGTAGTCACAGCTGATTCTGACTTCTGTAGTCACAGCTGATTCTGACTTCTGTAGTCACAGCTGATTCTGACTTCTGTAGTCACAGGCTGACTGCTGTAGTCACAGGCTGATGCTGACTGCTGTAGTCACAGGCTGATGCTGACTGCTGTAGTCACAGGCTGACGCTGACTGCTGTAGTCACAGGCTGACTGCTGTAGTCACAGCTGATTCTGACTTCTGTAGTCACAGGCTGACGCTGACTGCTGTAGTCACAGGATGACTTTTATTTAGAGAAAGTCATTTTGGGAAGTTGGAACAAAAAACTGATTAGACTTCCAACTGCAATGGAAGAGGCGAATGTGAAGGCTTTTCCAAAGATTCCGAGGAACCAATGGGGTGGGGCTGGGGAGGAGAACGCAGTCAGGGAAGGGGCTCATTTTCCTGTTGTGTGATGAAATGGCAACATATTTATATGATGATGGGAATGATCCAATTTTTTTCAACTGTACAAAGGTAAATAATAGATTCTTAGTATAGCTAAGAGGATTAAACTCGGCCAAGTGTGCCATAGATAAGTGCTCCGTGTATACTGAGCATGCACAACAGGAACCATTTTTCCTGCCTCCCAGACCAAGTGAGAGAAGACACAGGACCAGAAGCCTGCATAGTGCGGCAGGTGCTTCTGGTGACAGGCGCGGGAGGCTGGAGAATATAAGATGGACCAAGCTGTGGGAGGTGGCATGGGGTGTTGGAGTCCAGTGAATATCAGTGTCACCTTAGCCTGGCATACAAATGAGGCCAGCAGGAAAGTCAAGCTTTCCTGAAAGGTGGATGGTTGAGGATTTAATCCCTCATGTCCCTTTGCCTCCAGCCTGATTTTCCCTGGTGTCCGCCTGGCCTCTGACAGCCAGTTCAGCGATTTCCTCGACGGCCTGGGCCCTGCTCAGCTAGTGGGACGCCAGACCCTGGCTACTCCTGCGATGGGTAAGAGTGATTTCATTGTTTATCCTTTAGATTACAGAACAGTCACATTCCCTCAGTTTCATATTTTTAACATTATTTTTAACATCCCAGATTTTAACAGTAAATGTTCTTAATTTTTTCTTTTGTAATTTCTGTTCATCTTTAAAGCAACACACTGCTAAGAACATTCAATCTTAAAGAATTAATACATCTGGGGACTTAGGAATGTGTCTGGGGACTTAGGAATGTGTCTGGGGACTTAGGAATGTGTCTGGGGACTTAGGAATGTGTCTGGGGACTTAGGAAAACATCCAGAAAATGTCTGAAGCCAAGTTCTTTGGCACAAGCATTCCTCCTCCTTCCTGTTTTTCTCCCCTTGTCCCACCAGGTGACATTCAGGTGGGAATGATGGACAAAAAGGGACAATTGGAGGTGGAAATCATCCGGGCTCGCGGCCTTGTTGTGAAACCAGGTTCCAAGACACTGCCAGGTAAAACAGAAGAGGTTCCCCTGTTGTTTCTAGCAGTCCAGGTTGTTTCCACATAAATTTCCTTTCTGGGCTGAAATCTTTATAATCAAGATGTGAGTAGACAATGCCAGCATTTGCACTGCTTGGGGGCTGAAGCGGCTCACGTGCTCACGTGCTCACGGGCTCGGAAGTGAGTGAGCTCTAGGGACCATGCAAGGTTTTGAACAGCACACACACAGCTCAGATACGCACTAGAAGTGCCTTTTCCAGTTAGCTGCTGTTTTATGTTATTCTTCCATAACATAAAAGCTTACCAGGAACTTCAGATTTGTCCCTAGGCATCCTTCAAGCTCTGAGATTAGAATAAAAATCGATTCGATCCCCACAGGCCCATAAGCCTGTGCATGCTGGCTCCTCTAAGACAAGCGTTCGTCCTGCAGTTCATGAGAGGCTCTCCCTACCATAACTTGATGCCACGCCTTTCATATTGAAGCATAATTATAATTCAAGGTACATGGAGCCGTAGAAACAGCACAGAGTCTAAGTGCACTGTGCACAGAGATCAGTAGGTCCAGTCTAGAAAACTGTGATTTCTGAATGTACCCCGTCCCCAGCACCTGTACTGGCCTATAATTCTGTATTTCTCTCCCAACTCCTCAGTCCTTGAAGGAAGTTTTGAAGCAAGTGTACGTTGCTGTTGTCTCACTTTGAAATTGTGTTGTACAAGTCTTGAGGGTGATCGGCTCCTTCACCATATTGAGTAGCAATGAGGCACACGGAACCTGCCTTCTTCAAAAGTGTCTGTCACATAAGGTTTCAGTTGATGAATCCCTGCTGAGCTGCCCCTCCACATCACTCTTGAACACAGCATCCCAGAGCCCCTCCCTGCCTTGTGCTCACACCCCTGCCAGCCAATAGACGTCTCTAAATGTCAAGTCAGCTGTGGGGGTGAATCAAACAGGCTCCTCTGGGCATGTTTACGACATCGAAATTTTGATAACTTAAAGACACTGCTCTTGAATCTTGTTAGGGAGTGGAAGCATTTTGCCTTATTTAATTTAACATTTAAATCTCTACAAGAAAGAAATATCGGGGAGGGGGAAGAAAAGACTCTCAAAGGCCGTGTCAACATACTTAAAACTGAACGGCTGGCAAGTGTTCATGGTGGTTTTGACAAGGAAGGCAGGCCAGTGACTAGAGGGCTGCCAGCTCTTCAGTGAGGGTGGAGCTGTTGTCCTTGTTCCCGTGAGCTGATGGAGCCTTGTTCTTGTCCCCCGTGAGCTGATGGAGCTGTTGTCCTTGTCCCCCGTGAGCTGATGGAGCCTTGTCCTTGTCCCCCGTGAACTGATGGAGCCTTGTCCTTGTCCCCCGTGAGCTGGGCATTTCATAGCACTGGCCATCACTCACTCTGCTTTCTCTCCAGCACCGTATGTCAAGGTGTATCTATTAGACAACGGAGTCTGCATAGCCAAAAAGAAGACGAAGGTGGCGAGGAAGACGCTGGAGCCCCTGTATCAGCAGCTGTTGTCCTTCGAGGAGAGCCCCCAGGGGAAGGTGTTACAGGTGTGCACTCCCTGCTGACCTCTGACCCTGGAAAGCACTCTCCTGCAGCCTGGCCATAGATTCAGTGTCCTCCCTGTCAGATTCTTTTCCATTCCTCAAGGCTGAGATTCTCTGTCAGCTAGAGGCAGTGGCCAGGGCTGTTTATTGTTGGTCTCCCTACAGGGGAGCTCCCTACAGACATGCAAACCTGGATTAAACACCAGCTTTTTTCCTGGGTGACTTCAGATCTTCACACTGTAATGTGGTTTTCCTAGTACAACGCTAACTTCTGGGAGCTAAAGGCCACATTGGCATCCATCAGACCCCGCTACTTAACTTGACCTTGGCAACAGCACACTAGCTGAACATATTTTCTAGTTTAGTTATGACTTTGCTTGTGGGTTGTGATGTGTGTGTTTGAACTGCTGCTACTTTTTATTTTGCCAACAGATCATTGTCTGGGGAGATTACGGCCGCATGGATCACAAATCCTTCATGGGAGTGGCCCAGATACTTTTAGATGAACTGGAACTGTCCAATATGGTCATTGGGTGGTTCAAACTCTTCCCTCCCTCCTCCCTGGTGGACCCCACCTTGGCACCTCTGACAAGAAGGGCTTCCCAGTCATCTCTGGAAAGTTCCACTGGACCTTCTTACTCTCGCTCATAGCAACTGTAAAACTGTTGTCACCTCTACCAGCGACACACACACGAAGAAAACGCACAGGTCGGAAGCCCTGGCAACACTGCATGCTTAATGTTGTGTCCTTGGAGCCCACACCTAGGGCTCCAAAGCGACCCTGTGTCCTCAGAGGGGGTCGTCCACACTGTGCCCTGCGAAGGCCCTCAGGTGACGGAGCAGAGCTGTGAAGAACTGTCGGGTTTGGAGTTCAGTGACGCTCGAGATCCAGTCCAATCTGAAGCCATGGATTCATCTCAAAGAATCAGTCAGCCCTTTTCAATGGCACCTTTATATTTTTATCGTTTTTCTTCGTTTCTCTGACCCCAAAGCCTGTTACGCCACAGAAATGGAGCTCTACAGCCATTAAGCCACACTGCAGGCCAAGGAGCAAAGTCCAGGAAGTGTCAGGTGGAAAGCAAGAGACCAAAGAAGTGGCCGGCCGGGAGCGGAGTCGGCTCCGGCAGGGAGACTCTGGGGAGCTCCGGGAGCATGGCGGGCGCTGATGCGGCCGCGGTAGGACTCTGGAAACCCGAAGTCTGTGACTGTACTGCACTGGATGAAATCAAAGAAACTTTCCTGCATGGACACAGATAGCTGAATATTTAAATTATTTTCTCGGGGCTGCAACTTGCAAAAAAAAAATAATAAAATAAAATAAAAATCAGCCATTTTCAACAATTTATATTATTTTTAAAAATAAATTTCACTAGTGCATGGTTTTAAAATGGGAGCGAATGCCGCAGGGTGATACCAAGACACGCCATGTTTATTCTCTACTCTTAGTCTGTGTTTTGGCAGACATTACCAATGGAAATACTTTCTAGCAGATACTGAAAATCCTCTTTCTGTGACAATAGTATAATATACTCCATTTATTTCCATGTTAAATATACAGATCTTACGAAGTTCAATGTGTGCAGGTTTTTCACGTCTTTCCTCTTTTTCTCTATCTCACTTTTCTTCTCATTTTTAACCTCCTCTTTCCTTTCTCTCCTCCGGAGTGACCCTTACACTAAAGCCCTGCACGTCTTTGACCTGACCCCATATTTGGTTCAGAGCCCAGGTGCATCTGAATTGATGAATTTCTCACGTCTGTTGGGGAGCTCTCTTTATCTCAGGCATGTTGGAAGGATCCCACAACATGACTGGGATATAGAGCAAGTCAGCATGTGTTTGACAAAGAGGGTGTCTGAACATTCGAAGTTTATTCGACAGTGCATGGGAATTCTCTTTTCACCTCAAAGCCTCAGTTTCCAGGACCCCTAAAGTCATGTGGCGCCGTCACGTCTCACGGATTTGTTTGCAGCACCAGCATTATCCACACGGGGGTTAAGCATTGTTTGTAGGCCTTAGGTTTTGTTTGTTTTCTAATTCGTTGGAACAGTTTCTTTAGCTGATTTCCATTTACTATGTGAATAGAAACACGGCCGACTATGTGGAGCCCTGAAACACAGGGATGTTTATTAATTCATTTTTCTGTAGGAAAATTCAATTTTTCACAAATTATATTTCTAAAGAAATATAGTAAACATAAATTTGCAAGAATTTTAAAGCTCCAATATTTGGGTGACTCCAAGTCAATATGATGCCTCTTACTAGTTATCCGATGCCATCACCAAACGTCTACACACAAACCCTCAAGGCAAACCGCGCCTTTGGTCTACGGGCAGTTTCTACCATTGAGTGGCGCTGCCAGGTCCAGTTTCTCTCCAGGTCCCTAAGAGAGGAAATGTCACTGGTCATCATAAGTCACCCATCCTTCCCGTTCCTCACGTAGGCTTTGATCCCACGCCCTTAGAGATTGGTGTTAACTCCTTGCAATGATTTTCTGAAGTCCATCTCCATCCCGTTGGTTTAAATGGAGGCCATGCACACAGAAATGTCTTTGTTTCTCTTTCCACATCCAACGCTGACCATTGCAAACCATCATGCTTGGCGTGGTGCAGAAGTCGAAACGAGCTGCCACTCACAACGCCTTCTCTTTATGCGGTGCAGCATGAGCTAGCTACACCCAGACCGTGTCTTGATTTTCTGAGACCTAGGACAGAGCCAGGTGAAGGCGAGGTAAGGAGGAGCACGGTGTGATGAGACAACTTAGACACCTGTGTACCAGCAGCGACGTGGGTGGATAGATCTGTAGCGTCTTTGCTCTCCCTGACCGTGTTCCCGACACTAAAATGCAGTCACGTGATCTTTTCTGCATATTCCGATACACATTATTTCTAATTTTAATAAGAAGGACATGACTGTGGAATATTTGTACATACTTGTCATTACGCAGTATTTATTTTAAAGTTGGTGTACTTTTTTTTTTAACTTTCACATGTCTGCACCTCTATGGCTCCATCGTGTAAATAGCGCTATGCCAGTGACTGTTGCTGCCCTGTATATAGAACGTTTTCAAGTAAAGGGAATCCCGGCTGCGGGACAACAGGGGGTGGGGAGGGCAGATTAGGCCTGTAACAAATACCGACTGATGTAAATCCAATTCATTCTGGTGATGGTATTTAACTCTTTCAATAAAACATTTTCTTTACATACGTTGTTCCTGGTGCTCTCTGGGGCGTCTTGCGTCCCCAAGCCTCCCTCCATTCACCCTGTGAACTGGCCCGTCACTCCCAGGTGGCGACGCTGCTTCTCCTACTTCCTTATGACGTGAAGGAGTTTCCCGTTTCACCACGTTGCTGTTAGTAGACTGTATCTATAAAGTCCAGGGAGATTTCTCTCTCATCATCCAAAGTTGCCAGCGCTTTCCAGTGAGATGACTCAGCTGTTCGTAGACTTTATGGGCAGAGCAGCTGAGATCTTAGAGTTCATCCTGGGGTGACTGCCAGCAGGGTTACTATGTCTCAGTCACTCCTCTGTTGCTGTGAAGAGACGCCATGAGCGAGGCAATTTATAGAAGAAAGCATTTAATTGGGGCTGGTTTACAGTTTCAGAGATTTAGTCCATTATCATCATGGCAGCATGCAGGCAGTCGCTGGAGCGGTATCTGAGACCTGGGTTCTGATCTGTAGGCAGAAAGAGGGAAGGTAAGACATGCTTTTAAAACATCAAAGGCCACCCCCAGTGACCCACCTCCTCCAAGGCCATGCTTTCTAATGTTTCCCAAACAGTCCCACTAACTGAGGACCAAGCATTCAAAAATACCGCTACGCTGAGCATCCTGGTCCATGGGAGAAGACGGTAAACCAAGTTCCCATCCAACTGATGTGTTTCCATTGCAAGTCTGCTCCGCTTTGTGAGGGGCTGGGGGTTGTTTGCAGTGGTGGAGACACGTAGTAGGAACTCAGGGACTAAATTAAATTCATTTAGAAGCATTGTTCCAGGCAGAGGAGGGCATAGAACAACAGGACAGCCCCCAGGGAAGCTGTCCTTCTGTGAAAGACAACCCAGGGTGAAGAGTTACAAATGTAATAGCGGCATTCCTAACGTGAGGTCTCTAGTCAAGTGTTTAGCCTGGTCAGGCGCTGGGGGTAGCTGGTGTCTGCAAACAGGTTAACTAGAATGAAGGGAACAGCGGTGGTAAACTAGAGATGAAAATAGTCTAAGCAAAGAGAAGAGCTAAGAGATCTGGAGGAGTCCAAATCTGCCACCTTTGTCTCTGCGGCGTCTGAACAGCGGCACATTCAAGACTGGGTAAGAAAGTGAATTGAGTTAACTACCCAAGAAAAAGAATGAGGGTCCTGGATTCTGGATTATTCTTGAATCAATAAAGAATTGGTGTTTGAAAAGCTAGTTTTTGTAAATGTTTATTTGTAGGTATGTAGTGGGTGGGGTGTATCCATATCAGTGCAGATGCCTTCAGGAGCGAGGGGCATAGGAGTCCTGAAGTGGGAATGCAATCAGTTGTGAGCTGCGCTGCCTGAACCTCCGGGCCCTCAACGAGAGCAATCACTCTTACCTGCTAAGCCATGTCCAAAGATTCTCAAACTATGAAATTCATGTTCAGAATTCACGTAAGACAGAGTCAAGAAACTTCAAGTCTGGGATATCTTTAACACGCTTAATACCTTCCTGTCCTTTTGTCTTGTGGCAAAAGACCCATCAGTATTGTTTCCGTGAGTCCTGTCATCTTCTGATTTATCCCATTCCCATGTCCCCAACTGACAGCGGGCTAGCGGTGCAGACTTCCACTGGTCAACCCCTGTGCCTAACCTGTGAACATCTTTGTTGGCGTTCTGTTTCACTTTAATACCAAAGAGGCTGTCCATCTCTTCTATTAGATACAAAAGAAAACTCGGGCGTGCTGGTGGTGCTTTCTGCTACCACATCAAAGCTGGTGTTCCTTAAGAGAAGACAAAGTCAGCAAAGCCAAGAGGTATGATCAGAAGTTCTATGGGTTTCAGCTGGGTTGTGATGGTGCATGCCTTTAATCCCAGCACTGGGGAGGCAGAGGCAGGCAGATCTCTACGAGTTTGAGGCCAGCCTGGTCTACAGAGCAAGTTCCAGGACAGGCTTCAAAGCCACAGAGAAACCCTGTTTAAAGAAAACAAAAAACAAACAAAAAAACCTCTATGGGTTTCACACTCTCTGCTCCTCTGGGACTGAGGACTGAGGAGGACCAGTAAAGTCTTGTTCTGTCAAAAGAATTCCTGCTGCTTGAGGTTATGTATCCAAATCAATACATTTGCCCAGGATGAACCTAATGAAGCTGTAGAATCTCTAGGAGGCACTGAGGGTCACCAGGGCAGTCTTGTAGCCCTGAGGGAGCACTAAGTGCTGGCCCAGCCCTTAGCTAGTAGTTGGGTTTCCGTGGATGCATCCCACTGCGCAGGCTCAGACTCCTGATGTGAGATAACAGATTCCACTGGGTAGAGATACGTCATTGTGATTGGTGTAATAAAAAGCTAACCAGCCAATAGCTAGGCAGGAGGTACATGTGGGGCTTCTGGACAGAGAGCACTCTGAGAAGAAAGGGGGAGTCGCCAACCAGACACAGAGGAAGCAGGACATGCAGGACAAGAGGTAAAAGCCAAAAGCCACATAGTAGCGTATAGGCGAACAGAAATGGGTTAATTTAAGTTCCTTCCATCCAAGACGCAAGTCTTGCTTTGGAAGCGCTACCGTCTGAACAGTCCAGCCCCAGCCGGTGGTCCCCTGCTGGGTAGGAAGGTGGTTCTGCTATGAAAGGTAATAAAATGAGGCAGTGCAGCAGGGGACAGACCACAGACTAGGGGAGCTCTCTCGGGAACCTCAGGCCCTGATTAGAGAGAGAGTCAGAGACACTGGGGGCAAAGCCGTGAGCAGCCTTGCTGATTCTTGGTCTGGAATGCAACTTGGCATACAGACGTGTGCAAAGCTTAGGTAGATATTGGTTGTGACACAGTTCTGAAAACCAACTCTTGGATGGTTGACGGAAGAGACAAGGGGTTGACTCACCCTGAATGTTCTAAGTCTGGTAAGTGCTGAGTGCTTAAAATGTCGACGATTCTGACAAACTCTAAGTACAAACTCGCTACCTAAAGACTGTTAGGAAAATAATCCCCAATACTTCAAGCCAGAAATACAACTTTCTTGTTAATGATTTTCTTAAGAGAATGGATAGGATGCAAATCAGAGTCTCCTGACCATGTGAAAGTCAAGCCCAGCAAACCAGGAATTATCTCACTCCATAGGGACTTCATCAGCCACCTTGGGGGTACCCATGGGCACATCTTTCCTGCTTTACATCACTTGGGGGGCTTGAGTTTAGACATTCAAGTCTGTTCAATAGAAGCTGAACCTCACACCCTATCATTCTGCATTCAAGATACCAAGGAGAAGAAAGGAAGAAGAAAAGACTTGCATAAGAGTGAACCAGGAGAGAAAATACCTCAGCCCACAACTTAGCTAGAATTTGACCTGGTTTCTGTGTAGAATTTGGTCGATCAGGAATGACTTGTATAAAGCCATATGTAGCAAAGATCCTAGAACAATGGATTAACATTAAATGTTTTTCTTCTTTATGGTTACTTTGCACACAAGACAGTAATTGTACATCCTGCCAGAATATTTGTTTCCTAGGAAAAGGAAAAAGAAAGTAGAGAACCAATCACTGGGCAGTGGCTTTTGAAGCTCTTCTGACTGTACTGCTCAAGACTTCTTGAATAGGAACTATTCAACTACTTATATTATATTAGTTGTTAACAATAATGGGGAATAGTAATGGTTCAATAATTAACCTCTGCATTTTATGATAACTGCAGGATATGTATAGATGTTCTTTGTCCTCTCAAAGATCCCTTTAATCCTATATTTGCTAAGAGAATTTTAGAAAGTCACAAATGGGTGTTAGATTCTGCAAAATGCTTTTTCAACTTCTATTGAAATGATTATGAGTTTCCCATAATGCTGTGTTATATAGGGAATGGTACAGATTGATTTTTCCAGTGTTTAACCATCTGAATATTTGGGGGAAGTGACTTGAATGTGGTATTGGCATCATCGTCTTTCTCTAAGGCTGGGTTCGGTTTGGTAATGCACTGTTAAGAACTCCTGCATCTGAATTCATGGTGGAAAATTGGTCTTCAGTCTTCCTTCTGTAACGTGTTTGCCAGGTTGTTAACCTTGATAACCTCAAGACAAAGTAAACTGCTACTGCATGAAGTTAGCACTAAAACGTCTTTCTTAAATGTCTGGTAAAGTCCCACATTGAAGCCATGTAGAACTGAAGTTTTTTTTTTTTACAGGAATATTTTGACTAAAAAATAAATTTGCTAAAATGCAAAACTACTACCATATCTGCCTGATGTGTCATATTTCTTAAGGACTTTGTCACTTTTATGCAAGTTGTCAAATTTATCCTTATGAGAATATTTGTAATATTTTCCATCTCTTTGATATCTGAACTTATCTTCTTTTACTTCCAATAATGGTAATTTCTCATTCTTAATCAATTCTGTTAGGTGTCTAATCAATTTTACTAAACTTTTCAAAATACCAACCTAGAAATGTGTTCTATTCTTCTTTGTTTTCTGTGCATTGATTTCTGTTCTTGAAAATTTCTTGCTTTCTTAATCACCTTAAATTTGATTTGTTCTTTTTCTTGTTCCTTAATGGGAGATCTTATACAATTAATCTAATAGTGTCTTGTCTAATACACATCACGAAGCGACCCATCTTCTTCCAAACACTGAATCTTCTCATCAGCTCCAGGGTTCCACTCTGTGCTTGCTGTTGAGTCTAAACCACACAGACGTGCAACAGCTTTAAAAGTTTGGGCATTTTATTGTACTGATATTGGCTTCAGCAGAAAGAACATTTCAAGTTTGCTCTTGTCTCCTGAGGCTCTCCTTATTTGTCTGTCTGCCCACACCTGTTGGTTATGTTCTTAGTCTCTAAATGCCAGTTACATCCTATTCATTGATACTAGTGTCAAAGCTGTCATAGCCTAGCTGCGCAGTGGTGCTCACGCCTTTAATCCCAGCACTTGGGAGGCAGAGGCAGGCGGATCTCTGTGAGTTCAAGGCCAGCCTGGTCTACAAGAGCTAGTTCCAGGACAGCTAGTGCTGTTACACAGAAGAAAAAAAAACTGTCCTGGAAAACAAAAACAAACA